TAGTGAAGATGCGCACGAACCAAGGCTACAAACTGGAGGGCAGGACGATCTGACCCTGGGGCGGTTGCCCGTTGGACATGCCTGGCACACCAAAATGTCTTCCGCATATCGATGTTCGCAGCGGTCGGCACGGAAACCTCGAAGTTCCAATTTAACATTCGAAGACTGTTGAAATACCCTAGTTTTTAATCTCAACGTTGGATAAAGTTAATATTGAGGCGTGCTTGGTAGGTATTTCTGTCATCAAGGGCATCAGTCATTATCATATAACAGTAAACTGTTCATAGTCGGTCGACCGCAGTGATCATTGATGCACAGCGGGTAAGAACTCAGCACTCAGATCTCAGAGCTGAAACGTGTGGTGAGTAGGTGGATGTAGGAGCACAGGAATTGGCGGCATTAAGATCCCGGGGGCCAATCAAGTTCCCGAGCGGCGAGCAGGTCCTCCGAGTTCAGTCGTTAGTTACGGTTGACTACGACAACCACGTAGCGCATTCGCTCCCTGAACAACTTACACCTAGATCAAGAAAGCATTCTTTACCACCCGCCTGTTGTGGATCTCGAAATATAATATCTCAATAAGCATGGATATTTCGTGAGTACACTCTCATTCGTGCGATCATCGAGCACCAATACAGCTTGAACTCGGGTCAGATCAATTCTTCAAGGAGGTTATCAACACCCGCTTTCGCGCTCATGGCAAGGACGTGGCCAACTCACAAAGTCCATGTTCATGTACCCGATTTTCATCACAGACGACCCAGATGCCAGCGTAGTCATTCCTACGTTACCTGGACAGCGCCGATGGGGGGTCAATAAACTCGAAGGTTTCTTAGGCCCACTCGTACAAAAGGGTCTAAGCAGCGTCATCCTTTTCGGCGTTCCTCTCAACTGCGACAAAGTGGGTACAGCTTGAGATGTCGCTATTATCCGGGGCTCTAACAACGATCGAAGGACGCCCGAGGAACTCCAGCAGACGACGAAAACGGGCCTGTCATCCAAGCCATCAAAAAACTTCGAACCCTCTTCCCCTCTCTATACATCGCTTGTGATGTCTGTCTCTGCGAATACACGTCTCACGGCCACTGCGGCCTCCTCCACTCCGACGGCACAATCAACACCGAACCCTCCGTCAAACGCATGGCTGAAGTCGCTCTGAGCTATGCCCTTGCTGGCGCTCACTGTGTTGCGCCTAGCGATATGATGGACGGCCGTATCAGGGCGATTAAACGGAAATTAATAGACGCTGGTCTTGGGAATAGATGCACGCTCATGAGTTATTCGGCCAAGTTCGCAAGTGGTCTGTATGGGCCTTTCAGGTAAGCGCACGAAGCTCGCATACAGATCTGAGTCTCAACCTAATGTACTTCAGAGATGCAGCCGGGAGCGCCCCGTCCTTCGGCAATCGCAAATGCTATCAACTCCCTCCTACCGCAAAAGGTCTCGCGAGACGCGCCATTGTAAGTAACCGCTATAATTCCACAGCACCCTCTTATCGTTCGGTAGCAACGTGACACTGCCGAAGGTGCCGACATCATCATGGTAAAACCTTCACTGCCGTACCTCGATATCATCGCAGACGCAGCACAGCTCGCACCTGACCACCCCATCGCATGCTACCAAGTGAGCGGCGAGTTCGCTATGGTCCACGCTGGTGCGGCTGCTGGCGTGTACGACATCAAGACTATGGCTTTCGAGACCACGGAGAGCATGGTTAGGGCCGGTAAGTGTCGCATCAGTGATTGGCGTACGTTTACTGATGATTAACGTCAGGTGCTACGCTGATCTTGTCCTACTTTACCCCCGAGTTCTTGGAATGGCTGCCGGCGTAAAACCATCCCAGTGGGGATACTAAAATGAATAAACTACATGGATAGAGACCAACTTCCGGCAAAGGCCACGATTTGGGATTGTGTAGAATAACTGCATTCATTATTTATATCTGAAATACATCCAGCTCTGAATTTCTGTCGATCTGCATCTATTTGCGAGAGTTGTGAGAGTCGCGAGGTTTTGCTGTGGAAGTCCAAGTCCGATATTCTAGTGTAATGATAAGATAACCATGTGGCTTCAATGCCAAATCTCAAATCGCGTCTCGACTTCAACAATACCATCACCCATAAAAATCGCTTCTAAGCAACTCCCGAGCATACATCAACTTTGTTTTTCACGCCATCATGGCCAATACAAGCCAGCTTCAATCAGCGTACTCCCCCGATACCTGCATGATCTGCCACAAATCCCTCTGCATCACCACCGAGCCAGAATACCTGGACGACTCGTCCGAACCCGATTCAGAAGAACTTGAAGGTCCGTCGACCATCATAGACGACGTCGAGCTTTACTGCGGCCTCCCGGGCTCTGGGCCAGGCGGACACCACGCACACTGGTCCTGCTTGATCGAGCACGCTAAACAAATCAGAGCTGATGCGCCGGGCTCAGGGGAAAGAGCGACATGCATAGTGTGTGGGCAGAACACGTTGGACGCATCTGGGAGGCTTATCGTCGATGTGCGGAACGAGGGAGGAGAGACAAAGGGGTTTGATTTTGGAGAGATTATCGTACGTAAAATGTTTTTTCCCGTTACTCGATGGAATCGAGATAAAGATTGATACCACATACTGTTGGTGTTGAATAGGAGGAAGAGATATGTCTGGAGGTCAATCCAGAGCAAGTGCACAGTCGCGCTTTCCACGATCTAGTCGCACAGGGGGACTACGAAGGCGCTATGGAGCTGATCTCAGAGCACAACGTTGATGTGAACTGCACGTTTGGGAACGGTGGGTTGACGGCGTTGCAGAAGGCTGTGTTCAGTGGTGATGCCAAGGGAGTGGAGTTTTTGCAGAGTCTTGGTGCTGAGCCATGAAGGAGAAGTTAGAAGCAGGCTACTAATATATACAGAGATCGGGGATACTTTACAACCATGATATTGTAACTGTAGCCAAAACAAAAAGCAAGTGAGCTATCTAACCACAACGGCAACTCGGGTGAGAAATTTACAGTTGACGCGCCAGGGGCGAGATGGTCCCCAGGATAACAACATAAAGCATGTAGATATGTAGAGGGTAGTGTATCATGAATATGTAGGGGGCGGAATGTGTAGAAAAGGAAAAGCCACAGATTGGTCCAGCCCAACAGTGGTCATGTACAACTATACGTTAAGACGTTGAGGTGGGCGAGGTTGGGTCATTTTCTGTCCGCACATGTGGTGCAGTCATCCCTACACCAGACTCGTGAGTGCTGGGGTTGTTGTTAAGGCGTGGGTTTGGCCGGCGAGAAAATAGCTTCGAGCACAGCCCGCAAAAAGCAACCCGACTATGCTCGTCCGCGTTTTCGTTCGGAGCGTCATCAAGGCTATCGGTCGGGGTGTGCGGATGGCTAGGAACGGGAATCGAATATAATTCATAGTGGCCAGGGGTGGTTTCTAGCTGTTCCGGTAATTGTGAGGGTCGTGGTATATCACTGGCTACTACGTCTCGCTGCAGTTTACTGGGTGAGACGCCCGGGGTTGCGGAGATTACGGACTGCACTTACAACTTCTGCTCTGCCTGGATAGACTGTAGTTAATCGAGGCCGGTCCCCGCGAGAAGGTTTCCAGAGGGACTTCCAGGACGCCCGCAGTCCCGCCAATGTCAACATGGGATGATGGGATCCTGGACCTGCAGCATTTGCATTTGCTCGTTTGGGGTGCCATCGGACCGATTCTGGGAGCTATCCTCCGTATCTGAGAACGTGCAACACGAGAAGTGGAAAGCATGAACTGACACCAAGTATGTCGACTCCGCGACCATATCCATGCGCTCGGTGAGACTGGGCTGGCTGGATGGCGGAAAACTACCGATACACGAGTTGTCAAATGGGGCAATACCATAGGCTGAGTGACATACATCTAATATCCAGGAACCACGCGAGGCCCTGTTGTAGGATTAGAGCACGTGTCACAGGAATACTGACGTGCACTCGCCTTCTGTTGTTCGTCGTTCCAACCAGGAGGACGCCACAGATAGGCATTGTCATCGTCGCATCCGGTGGCGACGCAATTGCCCGTTGGCGGAAAGATAGCGTAGAAGACATCGCCGTCGTGCTTGAGCGGTCCGCCGATTGGCTGACCAGACTCCACGTCCCAAAACCGAAGTATTTTATCTCCAGAAACGCTTGCTAACACTACATCGTCTGGAGAGATGGTGATGGGATAAGTGCTGTCCGCGTGTCTGACAAAGGGCCCTCCGATAGGTTCTCCGTAAAGCAGATCCCATTTTCTGACGGTTCCGTCCGAGGATGCTGATGGGAGCTGTGATCCGCTCCATGACCAAAGAACACCCGTACAATCGTCGTGAGTGCTCGTGATCGGAACCAGGTTTCTTGTTTGACGGTACTCTCTTCCGCCCTCATTTCCAACCTTCCGCTGTTGGGAGAGAAGGACATTGCATGTACTGAAGGAACTTTAGAGCTTGAGCTGGAGTCGGATCACGATTCCGTGCGTGACTTGATTGACCAGTGATCGACGACCTCGCCACTGTCTGCATCCCTCAGTGCGACACGTTCGGGGGAATCGCCACTTGCCACGAGTGCCCCACTTGATGAAAAGGTGATACGCCAGGTAGGGTCTTCTTCGTCCTGGTCAGGATCTGCTTCGTCTTGGTCTGGCCGCCACTCGCTGATCTCGCCGTTCCACACCTTCAACCCGCCGCACTCGTGGCTAGAGAGCATTCACCTGCCGTTCCAGAAGTCAGCAGCAGCAACAAATTCCGTGTCACTGTTTATCATCACCACATCGCTCTCGCTTTCCCCAATCGTCCACACCTTCATCGTCGTCCCACGCCAGGCCAACAACCGTTTTCCATCCTGAAAACAAGAAACCCTAACAGCAGACAAAAGCAAATCCCCTAGCAGTCATTGACATGGAGGTGACGAATAGTAATTATTGACAGTTTTCGACACGGTGGGTAGGTCGCAGAGGGAATAAGAGTTGAGAGGCAGTAACTCAAAGGGGAAAAAAATCCGATCTGCCTGGCTCGAACAGGCGACCTCAAGATGAAATTATCCATTACAGTCTCGCGCTCTTCCAACTGAGCTAAGATCGGCTACGACAACAGTTCCGGTAAAACCAATCTGACCATGATTGGGTCCATTGCCTGAACTTTGCCAGCACCAAGAGCCTTGCCCGTTTCCTTGAGATGGGGAAAAACAAGAACGAGGATGAGATACCCAACCCGAATAGTGTCACCAATAGAGACATTTTACAACGACTGAACTTTCTCTACCAAGCCAGCGTTCTTCTTAACGGGATTGCGCCCATTACGCACTCAGCACCATCAGACGACGGGAATCATGATGGACAGCCGTCACCTCAATTCGAGATCGCAGCGGAAGCTTCGTCACAGTGCGGAAAGGTGCCAAGGAGACGAAGAATCGTGACTACTTCCGAGTTGTCGAGAAGCTATGTAGACACAATGAAGATCGTCGGACAGAAGACAAATGTGAAGATGTACGCCTCTGGCAGTCCCGATGCACTCACACGCGACTCATCGCTCTCTGACAGGGACCCTTCAGTGAAACGCCTCATATGCAAAGGCTGCAGCTCGGTCTTGATTCCTGGCGTATCTGCTACTGTCCGAATCAAAAGTGGGTGAGCTCGCCTGGAGATGTTGTTTCGCTAATACTCGAAAACAGATTCGACCTCGCATAGTCACCTCGTCTCTTATAACTGCACTAACTGTCGGACGGAGCGTCGCATTCCTGCGCCTCCAGTCCTTCGCGCAGAACCACAGCCTGAAGAGAACGTGCCGACAGTCCAGGTTGCGGAGGCTTCAGGCTCATCAGCGCCTGACACCACTGCTGAAGGGGCGGTACGTCCCGGGCGTCATAAGAGAAAGAAAAAGCCACCCGTTCCCCGCTTGCCGCCACATTTTGCTCGTGATATTGGGCACGTTGTGTTTCGTGGAAATGAAAAGCTTGTAGATCCCCATACATAAGGCGGCGTCTCGATATTTCATACTGTTGAAAGCACTCCAACAATAATTGAACGATCTACGTCCTCTCCCTTACGAGGTTCAAGTCTTTTTACTGATACTCCTTTACCGTTGAGAACCATGATCACGATGTCTAAGGTCATGTACTCTCCCTCAACTCCTCTCCCACAGCGGCCAAACATCTACGCCGCATGTTTGCATGAGCCTTACTGGGTGATGCAGTTGTGGAGTAGCGTTTGGCATTTTCAAGAGTGTCCTTAGCTTGTGCCAAGTTTCCACCAGTTGATCGCCCATCAGTTGACTTGCCGGAACGAATAATCAAGCTTTCTGTACTCACTGGGCTGAAATTACAGTAATCAATAAAAGTATATTGACCGACTACATCGCAAGAAAAGCACGGCGTTCGTCCCACCACGAAGAATGAGAATGATGGGTCTGCCATTGATAAGGATGATAGGACAAGCATCTAGATGAATCATGGAAACGTGCAAAAATTGTCAATAATGAAGGGGTGAGAAGAAAGAGATAGGCGAAAACCGAAAGGAAAAACGACGAGCCCATGATTACAACAAATAGGTCGTTAACGATACAGTCAATAATAGAAGAACGTGAGGTATGACAGCGATCACTGCAAATCCAGTGTGAGTGTCTGGGCTAAATACACAAAGATCAGCCAAGGCGTCCTTCCAATTCAGGGACAATGAAAACGAACGGTATGCCTGCCTGGTCAGAATATGAAGGACACGTGTCGTTGGGACTCCCCTGCGTCAGTGAGAAATCATGTTCGTGGTGAATGAGTAATAGAGACGAACGTACCGTTGGGTTGTCGGGACAACATGCGCTATAGCCCAAATTGGCAACACTTCCAAGAGCTGCTGCGTGGTTCCATCCCTCCCAGCTGCCACAGGGAACGCTCTGGTAACTGATGTTCCAGACACCAAAGTCCTGTTCTCGTTTGTTTCAATAGTTTACATACACACTGCTCGTTCAAACTCACGCTATAGCCTGCACAGATTCCTGACTTGAGTCATCGGTTGGAGACACGATCATACGGGAGACGCACCATAGAGCGAAGGGTCGGACGGGAAGAAGTTATTCGAAATTGAACTGGATGGCCACGCAAGATCAAAGTTGAGATAATGGCCAGCGCTGGTTTCACTGTCATCTGCATGCAATATATAAACTCGATTCAGCTCACTCACGCATTGGGAGCAGATGCCGTGGCATTGCACCACCCACTCTTAGAAAGCGGGCACAGGTCGGTCACTTTAACAACGATTGAATTCGTTACATTGGGGTAGAAAGGTGGATTAGCTATGAAAGCATTGAGCAATGTCAGGTTGAAGCACCGCCCGCACGTAGGACCATACGACGTGCTGCTTCCATATGCCATTTGGTTCATTGCCGCAGTGGGATAGTCTGTGCTATCTGGCGTGCATCCACACGCTGCAATGAATCCTTGGGGTAGGGTATAGTGTGTCATGGTCGCATATCCGTCTGGTGGGTATTGGATCCATTCTGTGGCCAGGGTTGCAGGGAGAAAAGACAGAATGGTGCAAAACGAGAGAATTCGTGAGTAGAGACTCGTGCGGTATTTGCCACAAGAAGGCATTTTCTTTTTTCCTGGGTTCAGGATGTCATGAACGAGTTGACCGAAAGAGCGTGTATCCTGGTGGATCAGTGAGGGTTACGTCGAAAGCAAGGTTGCTCCCATCACTCAGGTTGTCATATGCATCATGTAGATAATTTAATTTCAGGTCGGTCGGGGGTGTGGTAATTACATACGTCCTCAATCATCGAGGTAGCCGAGTCCTGGCATGAGTAACCTCAAGAATACAATGTTGCCAATAGTGCAGGAGCTACCCATGAATTCAAGAGACAAAGCGAAGGAATGAGAGGACATTATCAAATCAAACTGGCAGCCCTGTTATGTGCATAGTAAGCGCGGTTCCCCTCCGCTTCCAATACATATGATACAAATAACGAGCCTTCCCGAACTGCGCCTAATCCTTCAGTTAATCAGCAAACAGTTTTTAGGAACCTACTTAGGGAGTGATTTGCACAGGGACTTGGGCATCGGTCTTGCAAAGAAGTTCAAGGTTCCCCACCCCCAAAGCGACTACGAGGGCGACCCACCACACGGCAGTTAATAAGCAGGCTCGTGGACGTGATGATGTTCAACTCGTCCCGCCGCACCTTGTCTAATATGAAGATTGGGTCACTTGATCGAGGTCGCTGCACTGACATCGTGAAAGTGGATCGGAATCATATTGTCTATGAAAATTTATCATGGTAGTCTTGACGGCGCTCGTCGGGTGCCTTTCCACCTCCATGCACCAGACTTACTCTCAGTGACCGATATTTGAGGACAATGAGGCTATTAGCTTCAACTGACCCCACGTTGCCTCATGATCGGCACACCTACTGCTAATCAATGAGAGAAAATTCCTGTCGGCGGGGAGCTTGAAGTCAACGAACTCGTCACCTCATTGATCCTTGAACCAAATATTCTTGCGTGGGAGCTGTTACGCGCTCCCCATTCATGTCGATGTCGATGTAGCCACTGTTTCACCACTACATTGAATGACTTCCTTCCAAATGTATGGATATGTTGGCTGCAATGAAAGGCAGAACGGCGGTAAGTTGCAGATGACTGGGTTGACGGATATCAAGATTCGATAGACCCCCACATCCCCTTCAACTATCGGGCACATCAGCAGGTTTCTCAACCTGGAATTACCCCGCGCGTTTAGAACCAGCGCTCGAGAAGAAGAATACTAGAAGGAAATGAACTTTCAGAAGTGCTCAATCCGCGTCGAAGAGACGTCTTTGGTATTGTTGTGAACGAGGTGCTAGGGGTCCCCAATGTCTCTTTCTACTAATTCGTGCAGCGCGTCCGTGAACCAGTCCATGTAATGCTAGAAGTTATATCACAATAACCATCAACGGCCCCAGCGACGACTAGCTAATGAAACTATCATATCCGTCAACAACCGACACACCTTTCACCGACGCTGCACTAACGCTCAAGATCGCTCGTCACACGCCTTGTTCAGCATGTGATACCTGCTCTGGCCTCCGACCTCCACCCGGTAGTGAGGTCGTACTGGGTGACGATGACGGCCACAAATCGTCTCTTGGTGACTTGAATCAGTATGGCTCGGACGAGGAAGACGAGCCTGCATATCTTGATAATTGTATTTGTGGACACGACGTAGGAGATCACGGGGCAAACGAAGCCGTCATCGGTAGGGAGGAATTCTCTCGAAGGGGTCGTCTAGCTGTTCGTCTGGATGAGGTGCTTCAGGTAAGTTTGCATATTCAGCACCACGTTTCAAAGCGCTCCGCGGCTGACGATTCGATTAATTGTCTCAGGTTGGCAATCATCTTACTCCGGCGCATGTTTGGTTCATGCTGACGAGAGGATTCACGTTCCTTCGTGGCAGGAAGCAGACAAGCTGCTTGACTTCGAATACTCGGACGATGAAATCCTTTCTTTGAGACAACACATGAAGTTACCGGTGTCGCTCATTACTATGCATTCTCCATCTATTGGTAAGACGTGGTGTCATAATAATCTTTATTATTGCGTCTTACAACTATGCATAGAACATTCATCGCCACTTGAAAGAGCACTATCGCCGGCATCATCTTCTATAATGAGTGCTGGTGATGAACCACCCGCAAAGAGGGTCCGACTATCTTTGTCGTCACTAAGCGATGCAGATGACGACGATGACGAAGAAGACAAACCTCTAGCTGCTCAGGTGTCCAAACCGCAACCACCGGATACCCCTGCGCGAAAATCAAATCACAGAAGTGGAAAGAAGACTTCGAGCATGAAATCGAAGATACAGACGGCTCCTACACCTGACATGAAGCCTGACGTTAATGGTGTGAATGGACATATTCCAGACGCCAAGATCAAAATAGAAGAGAAGATGGACGAATCTCGGCTGACAAGGCTTGCCACTGGGGTCACTGTTGACGCAGGTCCTCCATCCGCAGTCGCTGTGAGTGTTCGACGCCTCGTGCCCCCGATTCATACACAAGTTTCTACTGAACTCCTATGCAGCCAGCGCCAAAAACTGAGAAAGCTGCATTCGTCGAGC